CAGCACTGCTAAACACATCTCATTTTATTGGATTCTTTATACTGATGTTTGATGTTCAAGAGATCACTCCAGAATTTCTTACACTTCTGCTATGTCCCAATATAGCTTTTATTGAAACCACTAGACTTTTTGACAAGACTTGTGTTCCCGTTCCTGCCCCCTCTCATGCCACAACTGCCTTACAAGTAAAGCTCCATGAAGTTGTGCAGGTGGCTTTTTACTGTTCTTTTAGTGTGCCAGGTCCTGATCCTGGCATGTTTTGAGGGCAGCTGGGTTCTCCATTGCTTTTTGCTGCCTAGGACTAAGTTGTTGTAATGAAACAGGTGGGTTTTAGTTGCTACAGGTTGCACTGCAGTACATTCAAATGTCTGCTGCCAGATGAGAAACATTTTCCATGGTTAATGGTGGCTGTCTCTGAGTGTTTTTGGACAGCCACCTGTGAGCTGAGAAGACTTTTCCTTAGGTGGCACTTCAAGCAGGATGTGATGTTACCTGTTTAAAAAATTTAATACAGAAAATGTGTTCATAACTGTCCTTTTCTAAACCTTTTTCTGCAATATTGTGTAATTCTTGTCTGTTTTTTTTCTGATAGTCCTTCTTAAGTTTTTCCATAATCACTAGACAGCATTTTCAACTTATGCAAAAGCAGGTCAGGTCTTTGTGCCTGCAAAGGTGCTCTGCCAATTTAAATATGTATAAATATACATTTAAAGTTTTTACTTGGGCTGATGTGATACTTTTAAATTATTTTTAAAATTTGGCTTGCATACAGGATGCTCTTTGAAGTTTTTGTTCTATTAATGAGCAGTGAACAAGAGAATTTAGTTTCATAATTGTAAAGCTCTGCAAGCTATCTTGAGGAAAAATGGTTTAGCACTTGCTTCAGCTGTTTTGTTTTTTTAAGCTCTTTATGTTGAGAGTGTCTTTTTTTTTGTTGTTGTTTTTTTGTAATCTTGGGTAGGGGTTCCTATATTGGGAGAAAAAAAAAAGTTTTTTGAAACCTACAGGAGAATTTGCCAAGGGAAGAGGGTTAGTACATTTAATACATTCACAGTTGGACATTGTTCCTTGTGGTTATCACCATCTTGTACGGTTAAGGGATTATTTATTTGTGACTAAATTTAGTCTCAGTAGAAGAGGAAAATAGTAACAGTGCTCCATGTTGGTCCCATGGAAGATAAGAGATCATACTTGTGAAATTCCCAGTAAAATGCTAGTGTGAGTCAGAATATTGAAAAATTAACTTTTCTGGTTATGATATTATCCGAAAGAAATCTTCCATATACTTTTCCTTGGGCTCTGGGAAGGAAACTGGAATTCTTTCTTCTTCCTTATTAATTGGTATTGCAAACAAGAAAATTTTTTTTACTTCCCTCACTTTGCTATTTTCATGGTGAAAGATTTCTTTCCTAGTGTGAACTGTATTACTGTCTGCTTCTACAACAAAGTGATATGGTCAGTGATAAATGCTACTAGGAAAAAAATAGGGGGAAATAAAGCAGTTAAGATTTATTTTGTAATTTCTTTTTGATCTTGGAACTGTGGCAAATCTGTGCCAGCGGAAATATTTGAACTAGCTCGATTTAAACTCATCCAAAGCTGTTGATGAGTGTGTGCTCTGATTTACTGTGGTGAGTTTTTAGCAAGTGAATTAAGTGCTGTGATTTGGATTAATTTTCAGGAGAATCCTAATGAATGCAGGCTCTTGGTGGAATGTACTCTATGCAGTGTCTAAGAACTTGCTTGTTTTGAGTGCTCAAGTGGTGTCACAGCAGCATTTTTAGCATTTTGATATCTCAAACAGTGAGGCTAGTCTGAAATAGCCTTTCTGTTTGGAAGAAGTGTTTTTCTTCTAGATCTGGGGCACAGTGACTTGCTTATTGAAGCAACTTCAATGCAACACTCTACACTTTGTTGCATATATATCTATAGATTTATAATTTATATTTATTTATAAATATAAATATATATTTATAATATATAAACACATTATATTCTATACTATTAAATATATTGTATTTAATAAATATTATATATTCATATATTTATAATATATCTAATATATTGTATTTATACATTTATAATATGAAATATTTATAGTTATATTTACAAATACAAATATATATTTGTATTTATATGCATATATATTTATATTTCTATAGTGTTTTGCATAAGGATATGTAGTTAAAAGAGAAGAAATGTAACTTGCATTAAAAAAATACATCTGTAGGTGTTGCTTTGGCAGATAATTTCAGTTAATGCTGGTGGTTGTTTTTCCTTGGCGGGTTCTTCTTTATATATGTGCTCTAAAATATTCTGTAGCAATATTTTTGCTAACATTTCTTAATTTAAAAAAAAAAAAACCCAGAGTGAGCACTTGAACATCTTGCCAACTGCTCACAAAGCAGTATCAATTTCCAGAAGCTTTGTAAAATTCCTCATACCGTTGTATCTTCTATGAAATTTTGTGAGATTGATAAAATGGTCAATGGTAAGGCTTACCCTGACTTTGTTTTCCATTTAAAGTTTAGGATTAAGCTAAACATTTTGCAACTATTTCTTGTTGTATCTTTTCCTATACTAACTCATTCTGAAAGGTAAAAAATGCTCTGTCTTTCCTTCCTGGATTTTACTTTTTTTCTTTCTACCCTTTTCCAGTATTTTTTTGTAATATTAATTTTTGGTCGTTGACTTTCACCCACTTGCACTGCTTCTGCAATTTCTTTTGGAAGTGTATTCCTGTTTTAAACCTAATCTTTGACCTGTTTGCCCAGTTATTATCTCACAAATGTGCTGGTTTGGAGAAATTAATTCCTAATATCTGCCAAACCTGACTTCTGAGCAGGGCAGGTAGGTGAAAGCTAGTGTGAAAGGCAAGATGTTTGGATATATTAGATGCTGCTGCTCTTTGGACACTATCTGGTATTGTTTCATCTGACGGGATCAGGAATGTTTTAGTGTTCTAATTTTGATTTCAGTTGAGCCCAGCAGTAACATGAAATAGTTTACAATGGAAAAAAATCAGTGAAGGAAAAAAAGTGAGAACTGTATAGTGGGATAATTTTTACAGTTGCAGTAGTTTAGTTACATTTTTGTCTTCTCTGCTAGATTTTGGCTATTGACTTAATCCCAGCTCAGAGTCCCTGTGCTAAAGAGTTTCCTGCCAGTACTTGTACAGTATCATATTGCACTGCAAAAATAAGGAATTCTATTGCATGTACCACCAGAGTCTGTATTGAAAGCAAAAGCAGAGGGGAGAAGGAACAGCAACAGGATAATGTCAAACTGTTCTGTATTTTAAGAGGTCCCTGCTCCTGAAATATTATTTAATGGAATTAATCTCAGCTGGTTAATGACAAATATATTTCAATCAAAATATTTTCTTAACCTGAACAAAAATATAAGTTACATTTAGTTTGGGAAAAAATAAGAGTCTAGAACCAGTTTTCAGTGGAGCTGTGATTCTCTTGTTTCTCTTTAACCCCATTGGTCTCATTGCTGGGTCATTGCTTCTCTTCCAGCTTTGCATCTGTGCTTGCTGAAGTTGTGTGGTCAGTAATGATTTCATGATTATTCATAGTTTTGGTTCTGACTTCTGCACTGGAAGTGGGGCTGACAGCAGTGTTAAGGAACCTTCTGGTTGAGATCATGGAGTCATTTCAGTCTGTCCTACCTTCCTGTTTGCAGGATGATTTCACAACAGAAGGGTTTAGAAAGGGTGTCCTATGGAAGCTGGTAGTGCTTGAAGGAGAGATATCCTACTGAATGGCTTTAGAATTTTGATTCTCTCTTGGTTAGAAAGGTAACAGGTAAAGCATTAAGGCTAGTTAGAAATAGGAGGAAAGATTAGATGACATCTGAAGGGTTTTGTCATCGCCAATAAAATTAGTTTGAAGATTGATTGATTCTCTTTTCCTTTCCTCTTTACTAGTGATAATATAACAATAGAAAAGCAAGAATAGAAGTTTCTTTTTGAGTTTAAATACAAGGGTTTAAATAAAATATTACTTTTTTTTATTAGGAGGAATTGAAAAATACTGAAGAACTATAAATATAGCAAAATATATTCTAATGTGGGACAAACATTTGGTGATAAACTAGGTATTTAATGTGTTATTTTTATTAATTTAGATTTTAATATGTTATTCTTATTGATACAGATATGGTCCTGAACACCGTGAGCACATGACTTCAGAGATGGACAACCAGATCTGTTGGAAGTTGTGATTGGCCTTAAGTTGACTTATAACCATTGAAGAGCTTACCAGGAATTCTCTCATTCCTGATTTTTGCCTATCTGATTGCCTCACACCAGCAGCTTAACCATGTATGGAAGTGCTCGTTCTGTGGGCAAGGTGGAGCCCAGCACGCAGAGCCCGGGGCGCTCGCCGCGGCTGCCGCGCTCGCCTCGCCTGGGCCATCGGCGAACCAACAGCACAGGAGGCAGCTCGGGGGCTAGTACTGCGGGTGGCAGTGGGAAAACCCTTTCTATGGAAAACATTCAGTCCTTAAATGCTGCCTATGCTACATCTGGCCCTATGTACCTAAGTGACCACGAGAACGTGGGTGCAGACACCCCGAAGAGCACCATGACCTTGGGCCGGTCGGGAGGGCGGCTGCCTTACGGTGTTCGGATGACTGCCATGGGCAGCAGCCCTAACATTGCCACTAGTGGAGTTGCCAGTGATACCATTGCATTTGGAGAGCACCATCTTCCCCCAGTGAGCATGGCATCCACTGTGCCTCACTCGCTGCGCCAGGCCAGGGATAACACCATCATGGACCTGCAGACACAGCTCAAGGAGGTGCTGAGGGAAAACGATCTGCTCCGCAAGGATGTGGAGGTGAAAGAAAGCAAGCTGAGCTCTTCCATGAACAGCATCAAGACCTTCTGGAGTCCTGAGCTCAAAAAGGAGAGAGCTCTGAGGAAGGATGAAGCTTCAAAAATCACCATTTGGAAGGAGCAATATAGAGTTTTGCAAGAAGAAAACCAGGTTTGTCATTTAATGCCACTGCTGTGTTAGTGTGGTAGCATGATTAAATGGCTTTAATAAACTTGCATGTTACACTTAAGCAGCTAAATTAGATTGGTGCTTTTCTTGGGTAATTGATGCAGGTAAGATGTGTTTTCAGCTCGCAAGCCTGTTTTTAGATGTTTCTTGTCAGACTTGTAAACTACCTTGAGTGCTCATTTTTTCTTGGTGTCATGTGTGGTTTTTTCCCCCTAGGACTGATGGTAACCACTCCTTTTGGAAGTATTTTTGCTGTTCATAATTAATATTTCTGTGCTATTTACCTCTTGAAGTGTTTTCTGAGATGCAGAATGTACTAACTGCTGATCCCCAGTATAACTGCACTGTTGCTGAACGTTGACAGATTGCCATTAAAAGTAAAGTTGAAGTTAGACTCATTGGTATTTACAGTTAATATGTCCAGACCTGCAGTTTTCACAAACAGATATAAATTGTGTTCTTGGCTACATTTAAAGAACACTGTTTAATACATGCCTGCTATTCTTTTTTCACAAACTGTGCATATCTTGTTATGTAACTGACCTAAAGCATCCTACAGGTTTTTTTTGTAGTGGTCTGGACAGTTACAGAATAGGCAGAAGAGCAAAGATTCTCAGGTGTCTGGGTCTTAGGTCTTGTGCATCTTAAAAGCATCTCCAAATTAAAATAAAATTCAGAACGTGATTAAAATTGAGATGTCTTTGTAGTCAGTTCTACTGATTAAAAGCTTTCTTAAAGTTCTCCCACCTAGAGCTCCTTGCTGCCTTAGTCCTGAAGTAAATATTTGTCTTTGAATGTATGTCCTCCTGTTTAGTTGTTTCTGGCCAAATGTGGCTTCAGCACCTCTCTGGACTGTCAGGTAAAAAACCTCATTATTCTAATGGAAAACAGACCCAGTGTCCAGCTCCAAAAGTTTCCTGAAAGGTAGGTGGGCTTTCATAATGACAAAATTACTTTCCTTATTGCGCTTTTTAAGTATCCAAGCTCATTTAATGAAAGTTGCCATAATTCAAATGTGACTACATTCTTGTAACTTTTAAGGTAATGTTGCTATTTTAGGCAATGCTTATTGTAAGATTGCTTTAGAAGGTGAGGGAGAGAGGGAAATACTGGAGGAAAAGGGTAGTGCTTGTTGTACACTGCTTTCAGGTAGCCTGTCTTAAACAGTAAATTACTTTTGGTTAGTGATTAGTCTACTAACTGAACCTGTCTGCAATTTTCTGTTCACTTTTTAAAGAGCTTGAATTGAAGAAAGTTGCTTTTCCTGAGATAGTATGAAATAATTTAATGAACTTGTCATTTACCTTTATAGCTGTCTTCTTACCAAGTGGTAAGTATCACAACTTGTGGGACTTGTTAAGGTGTGTGACACTGTGTCTTCATTTACTTATGTCATCTTGGAATGCAGAAAACCTGAAGTAAAATAAATTTTATTGCAAAGGTAGAATTTCTTTAGAAGCACTAATGTAATGAAAATTTTAGTTATTATGGTGCACTACAAGGATAACAAATATCTGGAATACCACTCACTCATCTTTTCTGGTGTTCTTTGTGTTTCAGTTGCAGGTATGTCTTTAATTCTTAAATTCTTCTCATTTTTGGCCCTTTTTCATATTGAAGAGACTGTCTTGGAATACAATAACACATTTTCTGAAATCAGTTTTGACATTTGAGGATGCTTTGGAAATCTGCAATAAAAATGCCATGAATACAGGGTTTAGAATGGATTAAGCAATTACTAAATATGAATACAGTAGAGAACAGTGATTTCTCTTAGATTTTTTCTTTGTCTTTCCTTTATCCCCTAATTAAACATTTATATGTTTAATTAGGTATTAAATACAGATATTTCTAGGCTTCTGTTCTCTAGGCAATCACTGTAATTACTACCACACTGGTAGAATTGTATAACTTTTGTCCAAAAGTAAGAAGGGTGCAATTTAAAAGTAAAGGGGTATTATTGCATTGAGCTGTAAAAACTAAGAATGCTAATTAATAGATTATAGTTAGCTAACTGTGTTCTAATTAAATTCTGAATTCACTGTGTCTTCTGTGCCCTTTTGGAGTTGGTCACTTCAGCCCTTCACGTGGAAGATCAGTTTAATAGGATTTTCTCTAATTAAACAGATGTCTCTGTTTAGACTCTGAACAAGGAATTTCCCAGATGTGTTGGCGGACCAGAAAATCTCTTCATTACCTCTTCAGCCTCCTTCTAAAATGGGTTCCAATATAATTGCAGGAACTGGAGCTTTACACTTAATTATGAGTATTTCAGGACATCACTTTTAAAGACGACTTCTTGCACGTGTGGTACTTGTGCTTTATATAAAGTTTATCTCGGACCAGTTATATTGTTAAAAATCACCTCAACTCATGGAGCCAAGATGCTGGCTGACTCATACCGTTATCTGATAGTCATCTCAGTCTCTTTCCTGTGGTCATGGCTCCTTATTCTTCAACACCCACTTGATTATCCGTGATTGTATTGCTGTTCTTGTCACCTCAGCTTGAGTGATTTAATTGCCCCTTGGGTTTGGGAGTTGTTAAAAGTACCTGAAAATGTGAGCCCCCCTTGATTGCTACCTCAGCCTTCTATTAATAGATTCATCCGAGTCTTGGAGTTTTCTTTCCTTGGGAACATGTACAAATAAATGTATTGCTTATTGATTTCCCGGCAATTTTCTGGGTTCAGTAAAGCTCAGAGAAGGAGTGGGGAGATTAAAGAGCATGCTACCTGTCCTTAGGCAGTCACAGCCTTTTGGTTGTCCTCTGAGGACACTAGGCAGGAGGGCTGTCTTGGATATAATCCTGAGAATTCCATGCACATGCTCTCTGGAGCTCTCATGTAGGTGGGCAGACCTGCAGTCTTGCCCAGCTGTGGTCTTTTCCCCAGTTGTGGTGCAACACAGCTGGATTCATCAGATGCTCTGAGCAAATGCTGCTGCTGGGGAGTGGAGCTTTATTTTCATCCTTTCTTACTGATCCTGAAGAGACAGAAAATCCTTTCTTTGCATAAATGGGGAATGTCATTGAAAGCTCACTTTGAAGGGCTCAAAACTAAACATGGAAAGTATTCCTGTAGTTAACATAGATTCTTGGAAAAACATGACAGTTTTCAGTGCAGTGTGGATGACTTAACCAGTCATTCTTCACAAGAAGCCCAGAGGAAAGTGCAAATGATTGCTGTTATGCAAACCCATGCATATTCGAGGAGAAATGGATGAAACCAGTAAACAGGAGCTTGGTTTTGTCATGGCGTCACTCTCCTCTAAATGGTTCAGTGGGAACTGTACCTTTCTGATTTGAAAAATAATATTTTAGTATGTGTGGTTTAAAGCTTCCCTGGAAACCTCTTCATCAGAAGCCAGAAGAGGAAAGGAAAGACAGTGAGTATGTTTTGCACCATGACAGAAATAATTTGCCTAGAAACTGGGCACTGGTGGGGTGATGTGAAACTCAAGGACAAAGGAATTCCTCTCAGTTGAAACTTGCTTTTGACAAGGTGATTGTGCCTTAAAATAAGTAGTGCAATGCAAATTTTATGTCTAACGCCCTGCGCTGAAATTTCCACATTTGACTGATCTACTTTTAAGACCAGATTTATGTTTCAGCTAAAACAGTGTGGTACTGCTGAAAACATCTTTTTACTTTGATGCATTTCTGTGGTCTTTCTGTGGTTAGAGACCTTGGATGTCTGAGTCAGAGAGTTTAACCAAGAAAGTATTTCTGAAAGGAGTTTCACCTGGCTTGGGATAAGCACTTGAAGAACATTGTACTTTATTGTGATGGATGTATTCCAGCATTTCACCAGTATTCCCCAGAGTCAGAAGTATTTTCCATTTCTTAGTAGTGGGTAATGAGCATCTAATTTTCAAAAGTGTAGTTGTCCATGTGTTAACCTCTTAAGTGCATTGGGTGCTGCTGTTATGAGACTGTCTGAGTTTCTAATGAGTACATTATTTCTCTGAAAATCAGAATGATTCTCACTTCTTTATTGGCTTAATTTTTTTTTTTTCAATTATGTTTTAAAAAAATTGATACGTCTTAGTGCTGTGTCATTCTATTACTAGCCCTGTTCCCGAGCTGGTTATTTGTTGGTAGAAAATGAAGCTTTCTTCCAATTTGGGTGTTTAATTGTGCAATATATGTTTCCATAGGCATTGCTTAAAGTATCCCAGAGCATTGCATTTAAATAATTCCTTCAATGGCAGATGCCTGTTGGCTCTTTAGATTTCTGCCAGCTTTAAGGTTCCTTCTGTCTTTTCCCAGCTGCAGCATGAAATTATAATTCAATTCTCTTTCAGAATAACTCAAAACTACCTCCTCAAGAGTGCTTGGTATCCAAAGCATTTATCAAGTTGCAGCACTCTATAATGACCTCAGAAATTGTCATGTGATCACCCAAGAGAACACCCTGTGTTCTTTTTTTTCAGTTCTGTAAGGAAATAAAACTAGACATTTTGTGGTTGTCTATATTCCCCAAGGCTCCTTTTGTCCCGTGTTTCCTCTTGAGATAGGATCTAATACCTTGGGTTGCTTTGAGCTGTAGCATAGGCTGAACAGCTGCTCTCTACTTGATCCATTAAACATATAAGGGGAATACTACCAACTTAAAAGCAGCTTGGAATAAAACAGGTGATGTCAGTGGTGCTGTTGAACGTAATAGTTTAACTGTGCTTTTTTTGTTGTTAATCTGGAGCAGGGATTACTTCAAATTCTGCAGAATTTAGAGACTGCAGACTCTTTCTGCTATAATTCTTTCTTTAGTATGTATTGAGTCTGTGCAGGTATTAGACTCCTAACTAGGATGGCAGTGTGTTATTCCACCATTTAGTGCTTATATTCCTGAAGAGTCTTGTCTGTAATGCTGTGTTTCTCTAGAAGCTTTTGTTCCTTTCAGCACTATTCTATTTATGGTGTTTGAGTTAGTAATTTTTTTTCTTAAGTGTTCTTGCTTTCTAAAATATGAACTAGAAATAGAACTACATGAAACTGTGTAAGTTTTCCTCTTTCTTAGTCACCCAGTGAACATTTAACAATGATAGATGATGGCAATAGTGCAGAGGTGCTCCTCTATTACAGGTAATTTCTGCTGATGTTACACCTTTACAATGCCAAATCCACCATTCTCATATGTCGGCCTTATTTTGCCTGGTATTGATTTAAGTAGAAAGGAGAGGAGCAATTTTGTGGAACTTCCAGGTCATGGAAAAAAGGTTGTAGTTATGCTGGTCTTATGTCCATCTTTCAGGTATGCCTCAGGACCAAAAACTGAAATAGAGCTTTTTGTAAACTCTTTTCAATTTGGTGATTCTAGGAAGCCTCAAAGATATGAAGATGGTCATCAGAGTGGGCCACCCTGAATAAACTGTCAATTGGAAAGAATAGGATTTATTCAGCAAAGTAGATTTCTAGGATACAGTTAACAGTCCATTTAATTCTTAAGACATTAGTAAGGCAGAGGAACTTTTGTATTTAGGATAAATATTTGTGTATATGTATGCTCTGAGATAAAAGCTAGAGACCAAAAGAGTTTAGAGGGGACATTTCTGTGCTCTGAAAGTAGTGTGTTTGATAACTCATGAAGAGCACTCATGCCAGCTATCTGAACTAGTAATTGAAGAAAAAAACATTGTGAAATGACTCTTTAGGTTCAGCTGGCAGGAGAGGAATAAGGGAATAAACTTGGTAGTGCTCAAGATGTTCTAATATAGAAGTACTTTGAATATATTTTCTGTATACACTTGTGTTTAGGGGACACAATGAAACAGCAGTGTTTTCAGTAGTGGTTAGTGGTGATTTGAGATCCTTGACAGAAATCAGATTAAAACTGCTTGCCATCAGGTAGCATAGCTATTGAGGATTACACTTTTTTCCCCTTGAATAGATAGTGCTTTGTAGTTCTTTTGTATAATCTGTTGAACGTAACATAATCTCTTGAACGCACGGAAAAATGGCTGCATCTGTTGAATGTAGTGGAACATAATTATATCTCCATTTTTTTGTCTGAAGATGACAAGCAGTAGACCTTGAAAAGAAAGTCTTTTAAGCAAAACTTAGTTTCATAACCCACAAAGTCTACATAATTATATTTATGCATAGTATTTTCAGATTGATATTGGTTCTCTTGGAAAGGTCAGAGTCACCATCTGTGGTGGAAAAAAATACAAGGACAAAGTGTATTTAGCTTCCTTCTGTGGTGATACCAGTTGTTCTGTCTAAGAGATTTGCTTAGTGCTTGCAGTAGCATCACCTTGGACTGTGAAACAGAAGGGGGTGTTTGGTTATATTGGCAGCCTTGAGTAGCAGGTAGCAACTCAAGGTTTTGCAAAGTGCCATTGGAACTGAGAGATCTTTGTAAATCACAAAAAACCCTCTTTGATTTAGTGATGATTTTGCTTCCAAAGAGTATTAAATATCCTAAGAGAACTCTACTTCCTTTTCCTGTTAATAACCTTGGATTAAACACTAAAAACTTCTGTACTGTTTGGGGGAGATTGAAGCATTTCAATATACATCACATTTTGCAATTGCTAAGGCAGTATTGACATTTAAAACATAAAGAAAAGAAAGGAAGGCTGTATCAATATCTAGATCAGTATTTGAAGAGATCTTGTGATAATCCAAATTTTTATCAGTTGACCTCCATTAAGAAAGCCTTAGGGATTCACCCTAGGAAGAGATTGTATTCTTTAAAGAAAAAAAACAACCCAAACCCCCCTCAAAAACAAACAAACAAACAAAAAAAACCCAACCCAAACCCCAAAACCAAGCAATCAAAAAAAGAATCCCCAGCCCCCCAAAAGCATGAAATAGTCTTGTTATGCATGTGTACTCCCCAAAATGAGCATTATCAGATGCCAAAATATTGGCACAGAACACTATTAAGGCTTTTTCTAGTGATCATTGCTTTAGAAATCAGAGGAGTTAAACTTATGTATAACAGTTACAGGAATAAATACCATGTGACTGCCTTCTTCAGTTTAATTTTAGCAACTTCGTTTGTAAACTGGAATGCTAAGTGATGTACAATCATCAGTAAACCTAAAGAACCTGTTGCTTTTAAGCTGTTTGTTGAGCTGTATACAAGGTTTTAAAATTAATTTATGTATTACTTCTTATTCCTGTTGCTATTTAAATGATTAAAGTGTGTGAGCAGTGGGCTGCTTTTGCTTGTGCCTGGGTGGGAGCTAGTAGTCCAGGATCCCATTAAGACAGGGGAAAATGTAGTCCTTGCTGCTCTGAGCTGCATGCAATTCCTGTTAAGGACTGCTTTTAAAATCTAATTATTGTTATCACTATTTTGGAAAATAAATAGTATAAGCCAACAAGGGTGAGCAACTGGCTGGAGACAGGTTCTTCCAGAATTTGATTTCACAAAATCAAAATGAATTTGAAGGCAGTGTGTAGATTTCTAACCATCTTGGGCAGTTCATGGCAAACACACAAAATAACATCAGGTTGTGGGGGGATGACTTTTTGAATTTCAGGTGTAACACAAAATAAACTTTTTTATTGAGGGAGGAAGGAAGTGATGGCAATCGGCTGCCTGGGAAAAAGATACTTTTCAATGCTTTGCAAATGTGGCAGAGATGTGGAGGATAAATTTTACTTTAGGTGCTTTGTTTAATGCCTGTTCCTCTATATCTGCATTGTAATCAGGTTCTGTAGTGCATTGTTAAACACTTCTGTTTCTGCACTGGTACCCCCTCTTGCTTCTTCCATTCTCCTCCCCCTTTCCCTGCTTTAGTGGGCTGGAGAGAGAAGCAGAGTGACAGCAAGCAAGTAATAAATGGTAATCCAAAATTAAGCCTCACTGGTGTCCGTATCAAATGAATTTTTGTCCTGGCCAGTACATACAGTGTCCTCGAGTTCTCATGAGCAGCACCGTGGAGGAGCAGGCACTTCACTGAAGGGTCTTTTGCTGCCTAAAATATTTCACAGATGCAGCCTTGCACACCAGACAGTAGACTTGACATTGACTTTAGGGATTTGTTTGATCCTTCTTATCAAATGATCAGGTACCAGCTACCTTGGGTGGTTAAACTTTGTGAACAGATGGTCTTCTAATTATATGTGGATGTGGATTCCAAAGAATACAAGGCCACACACTTCTTCTGATGCTTCTTGTCACTTGTTTGTGAACTTGTTTCTAAGATTAAAACAAACCAGCACATGAAGTGCCATAATTCAGAAATTAAAATCTTATTTCTTCAGGTACTTTGTACAAGATCTGATTCTTCCATAGTAGTTGATTGCTCCTGCTATTAATATATGTCATTAATGTATGTATTATGTATGTATATACACCCCCACACAAATCCTACCCTTTTTTAATGCAGTGAGATGAGGTGTATATACTTTTTTCCTTACAAGAATCACGAAATTGTCTGAGTAGTGGTCTGATTTTTAGTGGAATCGTGTCTCAGATGACAAATACTTAGTTTTGACTGAAGGGAGAGAAAAGCTTTCTGACTATTTGTGTTGTAGCATATTGTCTTTGGGCAACCTTGTACCTCAGGCTTACAGGCTTAACCTGTTGTTAGGCTTGTTATTTTATTTTATTTTTTTTTATTTTACTGTTGGAATAATTTATTAGACTTCACACATTATAAGTGGGTATTAGTTCTTGGATGAACAGAAATAAACCATGAAGCAACAAAAGTAACTTGAGATAAGTGGAGCTTTCTTTGTTAGAGCTACCCACGCAGCCTATTGCAGCATCTGATCTCACAGCCAGAAGCTTCCATGAGGCTGATCTTATGTCTCTTTCTCTTTGGAGAGATAGGGACATTTAAAAGTAAACATTTGATTTGCTAAATTATTCAGGATATCATACCAAAGCTCTTAAAATGTTATAAATGTCAAAATCAACATAGCTAAGAAACACCAACATGTTTGTCCCTGTAGGAGATACTGCTCCTCCATAGTTAATTAATGCCTTGGATCTGATCTACAGAAGCAGTTGGTTAATGAGACAGATACATGCTCTTTAAGAGTGGTCATACTTTTGTATTTGGCATTGACTGAAAATTTACATGAAGTTCTGAAAGTGCTTTTGGCTTCTGCGGCAAGAGGTTTCAGTGTTTCCATGTTGGACATCCATGAAGAGGATGACAAAAGCTTTAGGCTGAGAATTAGTGCTGATCGGTGAAACAATGGATCTCAGAATAATGCTGGAAAAGGGGAACGGGCAAAAAGAACAAGCAGAATAAAGGCTTTTAAATAGGTTGTTAGGAAATAATGTGCCATGCACTGGAGACTTAGGAAGTAACTGTCTTATTTCCCTCAGTTGGGTAAATGTGGAGAATAAGATTCTTCAGTGATTCATTATTCATCTCTGTTCAGCTGGGAGTGCAAATGACAGTGTTGTGATTACTAGGTACAGCTTAGTTAAATATCAATACTCCAGTGTTTTTCTGATTGTGCAGCTCAGTAACTGATGAGAAGGGAGAGGACAGAGGTAAAAATCTAGATAATTTTTTGATCTCATCAACTGTGGCGTATTTGTGTGCCTTTCATTAGCATAGCACATTTATGTACTTTTCTGAAATCTCCCTTTGGTTTGCACATAAGTTAATTTTAACAGATGTTGTTGCTTGTGAGGATTAATAATTTATCCAAAGTAGTTGTACAAAAGGCGTACAACCATAGGTGGTTTTTTTTGAGGGTAGAGGTGTTTCCCAGTCTTCATCAGCCTGTGTATCTGTTGAATAAAGTAAAATTATTCTGTTTGTGGAAGCTTTGATTTGGAGGATGACATTAAAATTTTTTTTCCCCTCAGCTGATGTCTGAGGGATCAGGTTTGGCCATTCAGTTGTGAGCCTGTTAATGTGTAACCATTTTAATGGATATGAGAGCTTAGTTACTCAAAGGAGGGATCTTTCTGAGAAACCATAGGTATACTTTCATATGAGAAAGTAAATAGTGTGCTCTATATGTGCAGTCAACAGCACTTTTTATGGGTGAAGGAAAATTAATTCAGCCATTTTATGATCCTATTTGCAGGGATGTGTTTAGACTTTCTCATCACTTCACTATGACTGGAATGTTCCAAAAATTGGAATTATCTGCAGTAACTTATTCTGGGGGATGGAAACTAAAAAAATCACCTTGCAATAAAATGAGTAATAGAGATTTTTCTTAACATGGATTTAATGTTGGTATGAACTAGCAGATGGTATTGAAAGAATGACAGAAAAGTTTTAAGAAGCATGCTTTGGCCAGGATTTGTGAGAAGGTCTGTGCACATGCTTGACTAAAGAGTTGAAGTAGGTGTGGGTACTGCTGTGTATGCTCAGGTTATGATTTATAATACTTTCTGCTGTTGGGTAACATCACAGCGAGATTCTTATACTAGTTCCTCTACTAATTAGTCCTTTGTAAGCCTTTTTAGTTGGAAATTGTATACCTTCAGATTGCTTTTATAAAACCCATCTTATTTGGGTTGGTTCTTGGTTGTAAGGCCCTAAATATGATTACAACTTACTTTAAAGTTGTGCTTTGCACTTAACATACAACAGTTGAGCAAGTGGTTGTATTGCTGTTACATTCTCTCTCCTCCATCTTCCATGAGTAGGATTCAAAATCCAATGTTTGTGACTTAAAGAGGGTTCAAAGTTGTAGTTTCTATCCAGGGAAAGCTTTTTTCTTTATTTTTCTGCTAAAGCTGGGAATTCATTCAAGACTTGACTTCTAAAACTGCATGCTGTGTTTTCTCAATGCAGAATCCATTTAGTGTGTACATATTAAAAAAATTCTTCCTCTCCTCCTTTCCATTTGGTTGAATTAGCTCAGATCTGTGTGCCTTTGAGAGGTCTAAGGTCTGTCTCCTTTCTTACTGTGTGAGAATCGTCATTCATTTATATTTAGCATTTTTTTTTGTTAATTAACTTTTTCTAGTGTTTCATGTTGAGCTTCTTTAATTTGAAAGGGAATTTGTGGACGAAATCATTAATTCACTTTCTTTTATACTTAATATGGTTGTTAAAGTTTCTTTGTGAATTGCTGAATGCTAGACAGTCTTTGAAGATTGATCTGGGAAAAGTAGAGCTGTACTTCACAGGTTGAGCTTGTTAGGAGGTGATTTGGTGCAGAAAGATCTGATTATTAAAGACAGACACTAGCTGATGCTGTGACACCTTCATATGCACTGCATGTAATTGTGCTGATTAACACTTGAGTGAAGGCACTAATTTTAGTAGGGTATCAACAACAAGAGGGTCAATATGCTGTACGGGCTTATACATAGCTGAAACTGAGGGTTTGCTGCTGAGCACTTAATTTTCTGAAATTCTACTCTGTCCAGTAGAACTTAATGAATAGCAGACTTCTCTACAAAAATGCAAAAGTAATATTTTTTTCATAAGAATGGGTTATTTTAGTTCAATGTTTTTATATTGTCATTGCTTTTTCATTTTAAGGGTGAAGATGGTGTATTTTTCTTCTATTTTTTTTTCATTCTCACTGGATGGGTATTTCTGCCCTTAATCTTCCATTCAGCCAGGCTTCTTTTGTTGTTCTTTAAGCTATGAAAATCAGTGGTGCCTACCTTTTTATTCATATTTATATATATTGCAAACAGCAGTGTATTTAACTTGCAAAACTTGTTACCATGTGAATTATTTCATTTTAGTCTTCACATGATTGGAGTGATGGAAGGCCTGGTAAAAAAGCTGCTCTTAATTTATGGAAGTCATTTTCTGAACTGGATTGGGCAGATTTGCACTCAGCAGAGTGACTGTTAAGGTATTTTGTAATGGAAAAGGCAGAACATGACTATATCAATTTGGTGATTTATGATCTCAGTTCAAAGTAACTGGCTGAGGTTCTGCCAGGTATAACTGATACTTTACATCCCTTGTACACTGCATGATAAACCCGAATTATGAGTAATGAAAGACAGTGTGTTAGTGCTTCCAAGTTACAAAACTGCTGTAAATGCCATAAAGAGATTTCGTTTCCAGTAGGAAACATCCTCCCTTTTAGCCTATGCTAACATGCTCTGCATTAACATCTCAGTTATTTTCAGAACTTTTGTCTATCACATCTGGGTTTTTAACATTAAGAGGTGCTAGCTATTAAGGAATATCTTTATAACACTTTTAACAGGTGCTATTAAATCAAGATGATAGGAGCTTATCTAAAACATGAAGTATAATGTATTAGAGAAGTATTTTTATTAGAAGTAAGTTGTTGTACCATCATGTACAGTATTTAATTTGTAGCTAAAATGGATATTTTTACTTCCCAAATAATTTGATCTCTTGTATTCTTTTGGGCTGGTTTCCTCTTGCTTAAGCACATTTCCTTTCGTTTTGCCCTTCAGCACTGGGGCTGACTGTTGGGAGATTAGTAGCATAATTGTTTTTGTCATTTTTGATGTTGGGATAATTTAAATTGCACAAGTTCAGTTTTGTGCAACAGGTTGTGCCCTAAGGCACACACATGTTATGTATCCAAGCTACTTGCTTACATGGCTAACATGGAAACAAGAACCCTGTTTTTTGTGTAGTTCCTATAATACTTCATATTCAAAACACAGATTTATGTTGACTTCATCTTAACAAATTATTTGTGTATCTTCTGAATGCCCAACAGGCAGTTCAGCAACAAAAGAGTGTGGATATCATAAGCTGTAGGGAAATAAACCAAACTGAAAATCAACACCTGACAGAAACTCTCTGGAAAAAAACATTTAGCTGTTGTCTTAATTGTATTTCCCCGTTATTCTCAGTTTTCTGCTCATTCCTGATGTATCATTCTTTTCTGCAATGAAATTCCAGATCCATTGAGAAGTATCAGTAAGTAACATCTCTACAGGTTTCTTTCCCCCTCTAGTCCCCGTGAGTCTCTGCACCAAAGGAGTTGCAGTTGGTGTTGTAATAATGTGAGCACACAGGCAGCATATGGTAAATAGAGTCAATTCAGTGTGAGTCAACCCAAATATTAGGAAGTCCTGAACTGTACAAATGCTTTTTAATGTAGTTCTTGGATGGAATTTGTTTTAGAAATGCTGTATTTCCACTATCATTCATCTCAGATAATTTGTCACTGTCCCCTTTTGCTGGTATTGCTTTTAGAGTTGAGTGAAATCTTTGGGTGAACTGAGCGTCAGGGAAATATTCTCACTAAAGAGTGACTTGGCAAGAGGTTGATTTTCACATGATGTGTTCCTTAAGTAGCAGGGCTGAGGGAAACAAGATTAAAATGTATACCCTTAGAACTGTAAATATATTTTTATTACATAGAACATGTTTTTTAATGAACTCTAGAATGAAATCAGTCTTGCTTATGCCAAAACTTGTGAATCATTTACTCTTTGCTCACAATATCTGTGTTCAGAACAGAGTTTGGCTGGAAGTAATAAATGAGTGTTGAATTTTCCTTTCGATTTTATAAACTCATTAAATTATATTTTGGTTTCTGAAGGTCACCATTCTTGAGCAGATAGTAAGGAAAGGCATAAAGAAGGCTGATTTTGTTTTTTTTTCCCCAACTTCTGCTTGTGGAACTCGAGATACTTCACTGTGAAATATAGACTACTGTTGATCCCTCAGACAGATTACTCAATTTCTTTATCCATCTCACTTGGCTTCCCACAGTCTCCCACAGTATGCAAATAGAGAGAACATATTTGAACAAAATGTTGCATCTTTCTGTGATATGCCAATCTGCTCAGGTACCAGAGAAGATTTCCCAGGCCTCTGTGATCAGAGATGTGGTTCAGGGAGAGTAACTATCAACCATTAATTGAAAGAGGATTGACTCAGGGCTTCCTTGAGAAGACTTGATCCCTGTAAGACCACAGGATGAGTGTGAGGGTGAGGAGATGGCTGTTTGATGCTGCTGGAAGGCTTATTTCTGTCATTCTTAAAAGACTAAAGAAACTGGGGAGGGGTCTCCTTTGTGGAAACATGGATGTTCCACAATCTTCAAAACAGGTCAAGGGAGAAACCATGGAGTTAGAGGATGGTGCTTTCTGCTTCAGTCCCTGTGGAGTGAGTCTTTTTGGAACACATTTCTGAGCATGTCAGTGACAGGATCATGGTTGGGCACAGTCAGGATGGATTTGTCAAGGATTAATCATGCCTGATCTCATTGCCTTCTGTGATAAAATGTCAGGATTTGTGGATGAGGAAGGAGCAGTGGCTGTCCTTTAGCTAGCCTTTAGTCAGGCTTTCATCACTGTTTCCCACATCACTCCTGTCATTCCAGATGGGGGAGAAGCTGCTTGTAGGATCAGGCTCAGAGCGTGATTAAGGGTTTGATCACTACCCAGTTTCTGTAACAAGCTGAGTCATGTTTGACATCTTTCTCAGGGACCTGGATGCAGGTGACAGGGTCCCCATTCATTCAGGTGGCACCACCCTAAGGGGACCAGTTGATATGCTGAAGGGCAGAGCTGCTGTGCACAGGCACTCAGTCTGCAGGAATGAAGGGGCAGGAGGCTCATGAGATGCAGCAAGGATGATGGGAATAAGAAGCTCTTAGGAAAAATAGAGGTTAGGGTGTGGCTGGGTGGGAGCAGCTCTGTGGAAAAGGGTTTGGGGACCTGGTGGGCAGTAAGGTGGACATGAGGCAGGGATGATTCGTTGTGGCAGCAGAGAAGTTTGTGCAGTGATTATTTCCTTCAGCTTCACACTTATTCAGCCACATGCAGAATACTCTCTCCAACTTTTGTCTACCCAGTGCAGAAAAAGATATCACTTGGTAACATCATCTAAGAGGGGTGCCAGAGTGCAGGCTGAAGCACAGGTCTGTGAGAAGAGGTTGATGGAATGGGTTAATTTGGTGACAGGAAGGCTTTGAGGGCTGAAGCACAGGTCCTGTGAGAAGAGGTTGATGGAATGGGTTAATTTGGTGATGGGAAGGCTTTGAGAGGATTAATAGCAGCCTTCCCATACAATGAAGTTGTTTTTGAGAAGAGGAACTAGACTGGATGCTGCATGGTGGGAGGATGAAAAATAATGGATATAAATAGAAGATTTTCAAGATATAAATTTCTTGGAATAAATTTCTTGGAAAATTAATTTGATCTCATAGATGACTATGGCTTGAGTAAGAGGTTAAACTAGATAACCTCGTGCTGTCCTTTTCAATCTGAATTATTGTATCATAACTATGTTACAGATGGTATTGGTGCATTTAAAATATTAATCAACATGTAGGCATATCTGTATGAGAGTTTTGTGGTGAGCCTTATGTTGTCACTTGATCTTTTTTTAACTTCAAGAAGTGTTTAGTCTTTATGACAGTTCTGTAGCTGCTCTGACTTTGGCTCACTGTTCAGTTTCAATTCAGGTCAGACCATGTTAGTTTTTTCAGTAGTCTTGCCATCCAGGTTTCCTGAGAGTTTTCTTTAGCCTTACAGTTTAATTTTTCAGAGTATAGTTAGCCATTTTATTCTAATGTACGCTTTAGTTCTTCATGCACTGTTTAACCAATTTATGAAATGCATGCCTACAATCAGTTTTAGAAGTTCAAGACCTGATTTTTTAAAAAAACTTTTTTTATATCAGTTACAAATGTTATGTGCAAAAAAAAAATTCCATTACATCTAGTTAAACATCTAATGTTTAATTCAGGATTTGTATTTTTTCTTTTGTGGTAAATTGACTTAGCTGAGTTAGTACGGCATTCTTTCTAGGCGTTAGAAATAATTATTTCTCAGTGCCCCTCAATGTACCCAACGTGGCCAGGATTTTGGCTTGTCCAGTGGCACAAGCACTTCTTCACAAATTTTTTGGGGGCTGACCTTGGCCAGCTGGCAGGTGCTCACCAAGCCACTCTCTTGCCCTCTTCCTCAGTGGAACCAGGAGGAGAAAATAAATAAAAAAATGCTCTGAAATAAAGACAGAGAGGTCACTTACCAATAATTGCCACAGGCATAACAGACTCGCCTTGGAAAATTAATACAGTTTTTTTTTCCAGTTAAAACCAGTAGGCTGATAAAAAAAATCAAACTAAAAAACACCTTCCCAGACTTCACTCCTCCCTTCCTGGCCATTCTGCCTGTCTGGCAGGGGTACAAGTGCTGATCTCTTCTCACAGAGGCCACCCTGCAGCCCTCAGTGCCAAACCCTCGCCATGTACTCACAGAACACCTACACATACCTGGGAGTGAGTGCTGGCGTTGATTTTGGAGTGTGCAAGTTCATTACAGAATATTTATGTAATACCTCATTACAGATTTCAGCAGTCTCCCATTACTTTCCAGATTAAGCATTCCTGTTATCATAAGCTCTTCCAAAGCTTGTGAAGTAAACATACAGCAAGCAATCTGACTTTTTCATCTTTCACCACTAATTTAGATTCCCCTTTGGTTCATCTTCCTTATTGCAATCTTATAAAATGCTAGTTTGTCTAAGTACCTGGCAAATTTTATACCTTTCCTCATTTTAGGCTGTGAAAGATCTTTATATGGTCACTTACCTTCATTTATTTATATGCATGTATCTTCAGCTTTTCAAGTCTAGTATTCAACTGGATCTGGAAATCCTGATATTGGTCACAAACTGCTGTCTTAATAATTTTTTTCCCCTTCTGATTTATTTTCAGGCTTTAAAGGCATTTAATAGGACTTTTTAACTTCCTGTATGAGTTCTGAGTCTCAATTTCTTTCTTTGGGATGTGTCAGGACATTCCTTTCTGCTTATCTTCTAATAAATATGTTTATATGTGAATTTGTATATGCACATGTGTATATAAAAAAACATACATTTGTTTTAAATACTTTGAATCTCTTCAACATGTGTCTGTTGAAAACACACAATTGGTTTACTACTGTCTGGCTGGCTAATTTTGGATTTTCCCCTCTGTAGTTTCACTGTCTGCTGGTGAAATTGTTCTTTTCTCACAAGTTTTGTTGTTCTTTCTTGCATGCCTGAATTCCTGCCTGAATTCCTTCCTGAATTCCAAGTGTTTGATTTGTTCAGGTGATCTCTCACACCTGTGTTGTTGATATTCATGTACCATCAGCACTCAGGTGCAAAACCACTGTTGCAATCACACCCTGCACTCTGTGTATTGCCCATACCTGTCTACACCTGCTGAAATAGTAACAGCTCTGAGTCCAGCCCAGTGAATCTCTTGGGAGAGCCTTCCTCCCCCTCACTTTCACTTCTGAGATCATACACCCAGAAACTTGGCTTGTTCCTGACCAGAATTTAGTTTTTAGTGCCAGGGATTCTTATGGTGGAAATGCTCGGTCTTCTAAGCTTTCTTTGTGAAAGCATTAATTAATTTTTTTTCCTCTTTCCAAATTTATTATCCCTGTTTGGGAAAGAGCCTTTTGTTTCAGGAAACTAGACCATTTTTGTAAAGAGTTTGCTCAATAGAGTGTATTTATAAGGATTTGACATTCCTGTGTAGTTTCAGGCCCTTCAGTTATCTACCTCCAGGGACCTTTCTCAAGAGATGATATGGGATTTGAAAGTCTTCCTTTCTTAACCGTTTCTTGAGAAATTAAAACTTGTTCTTTCACAACTGTTCTAAGGGGTGTGTTATTTTTATCATTTCAAACACTACAAAGAGAATCAATGTTGGATTCCCATTGCCCTTTTAAGAGGATTTAGTACATCTTGCTTGAATTTCAAGTTCTTAAATGCTAATATTGCCACTGATAGAATGCAATGCAAGAATTGATTAATCTCTCTCAGCTTGCAGATAACTTATTCATACAATCATAGAGTGGTTTAGGTTGGAAGGCACCTTAAAGGTGATGTAGTTCTAAGCCCCTTGCCATGGCAGGGACACCTTCCACTACACCATGTTGCTCTGAAGCCCCATCCAGCCTGGCCTTGGACATTTCCACTGATGTAGCATCCACAGCTTCTCTGGGCAACCTGTGCCAGTGCCTCACCACCCTCACAGTGAAGAAGTTCTTCCTAATATATGATCTAAATCTCTTCCAGTTTAAAACTGTCACCACGTGTCCCCTCACTTCATGCCCTTGTAAAAACTCTGTCTCTGGTTTTCATGTAGCCCTTTAGGTACTGGAATATACTGCAAGGTCTCCCTGGAGCCTGATCTTCTCCAGCATGATGGCCAAAGCTGTGCTAAGAAAATATTTGCATTGTTCAAGATTGCTACTTATCAATTCAAAGTGTTTTGCTCCATCCACTCTGTAACAAGAAATATCTTTACTAGGATTGCTGAGTTGCCAACCTGTCTTTGTAGGGGATGATACCTGCAATTGTATGAATTCCAAAAAGGGAAACTGCTGATTTTATTCTGCCTTTTGCTTTGCTATTGTTTTATCTTCCAGGCCTCACAGTCAAAAGTCTGTGCCTTAATGATATTTTGCATATAATTTATGCTTAATTACTGCTGTATGTAAACCTGTCTGATATTAGACATAAACACTGCTACCACCCTGTTTTGTGTCAACAAGTGTAGAATCCCAGTCTCCTCTGTGGAGAGGGCATTCATATTGAAAATAGTGCTTCTGAAGTGTTTAAAAGTCAGATGTCTATCTGCCAAGACTTTGGAGTATGTTGTCTGATCCGTATTACTCAACAAGAAATGGTCAGTGCCACGTGAAAGGCACTGGTAGGTATTTTGACATTTGATACTTATTTTATCAGTGTGAATGTATGTGTGTTATCATTCAAAGCAGAAGAGACATTCACTCTGTAAGTAGATATGTATGTAGCTATTAGCTTCCCTTTGATCTTGGTTTGTAGCCTTAAAATTCTGAAATTTGGCTTTGAGGGCTACCTTGTACCTGATACCACTTTCTGACTAATTGGTATTGTAATTGCATAGCTGTATTATATCAACTGTATCCTACCTTGCTACCCCCTCTTTTGCACTTTGAAAAGAATGAGTGGGATAACTGGGACAATCTGGCAACTGTGAAAAGGCAAATGTGTGGCTGCACTGGCAGGGGCGCTGGCTGCTCAGAGGGTGGGAAGCAGCACTAATTGTTATTGGCTTACTGGTGTTTCTCATGGGCCATACATACGAAAACACATCCAGTACCATGCCCAGTCTCCAGCTCTGCAGTACAGGGCAGTACTGATGTTCTGGCATCAATCTGGTAGGTAATGAAATTATATGGGGACTGGATATATGGCATATAAGGACGGGCTGTAAGAAGTGTTTTGGCTTAGTCTGATGAAAATGAGGTTCAGGGCATCTTAGTGTGGTTCCCACCTACCTAATGGGGAGGTGTGAAGAAGATGAAGTTGGACTTCTCAGAGATGGGCAGTGGAAGAGATGTGGCAGTGATGGCAAGTTGTAACATGAGCAATTCCTTCTTACCAGGCACAAGGAGCATCATTTTCATCATTAGAAGTAGTTAAAATACTCCAAGGTTTATCAGCATCTCTGATCCTGGAGATCTTCAGAGTTTGACTGTGGAAGCTGCTGAGCAAACTGATTCCACTGCCCCTGCTTTGAGCAGGACACTGTGCTAGAATAATTCCAGTTGTCTCAGCCTATATTGTTCTATGGTTTTTCATATTTGTTTTTCCAAAATGTGTGTGTGTGTTCCTTCTAGATAAAATCTGGTAAATTCTGACTTCCAATTTCCATACCCACAGTGTGCCTGGACATAAAGACCATTTTCTCAAAAGAAACTAGTGGTAAACAGTATTTTTCTTTCACTCTGTGTTAAAGTTAGATTAATTTTTACATTCACAGTATTTTTCACATAGGTGTTTAACAAATGACACCTAAGTTTGTTAGAATTTTCCTCTTTTGGCCTTTTTTTATGGCTTGTTATACCAGATATGATAAAACCATTGAAGAAAATGTAGAAACAAGATACCTGTATGTTTATGTCACGGGTTGAAACCTGTGGCCAACTGGTGGAAATGTGAAGCTGCCCAGTGAGCATTTATTATTATACTAATTAGTCAGGTTAGACTGGTGGAAGATTTAATTCATTGTGGATAAGTATCTTGTAGGATTTTTTTGGAGATGTTTGTCATAGGCGCTTTTCCACATGCATATC